CTACTGCACTAGTTATCAAGTGTCATATTAGGCATTACGAACCCACAAACATCTACTGACTCTAACCTTGAACATACAGCATGACTCCTACTACTCACAGTCAAAAATGAACTTCAGCACAGCTTGAATAGGAATGAACAAGTGGCTCTGCAGTTGATACTTAAAATAATGCTGACATCTAGTGGCTGGATCGACTCACACACATCTTCTTCAAGTTGCTGCGTACATCTAGATTCATTTCTTAACCTTCAGTGACGAAAGGTTCCACCTGGCAGGGTAACACCTCTCCTTGTAATATATTGTTCAGTTCAGATGCATCCCAGTTGTGCAGAGGTCATAAATTTTTAATCATATAAAAAGGAGAGGGAAAAAAATGCTATGCTTCCCCTCTTGGAAACTGAAATAATCACAAGTCCATAGGATAAAATAGATTTGAAAACAAAACCTGCTAGTTTTTGCAGTCATTGCAGGGAATTTGGACTAGATAACTTTAAAGGTTCCTTCCAACTCTAAGGATTCTGTGATGGGGTTAAGTCTTCAGCCAGATAGAGCTGAATATATCTGAAGTAGAGTCCATCCTTACCTAAAATGAGGGACATGGTTTAGTGGGAGCTATTGGGAATAGGTGAACGGTTGGACTGGATGATCTTTTAGGTCTTTTCCAACCTTGGTGATTCTATGATTCTATGATTCTATGAAAATGTTAGGAGCCTGAAAATTGTCATATTGGATGAGCCGGAGCCAGGCACCCAGTGACATTCATCAAAACCTGCTGAATGTTTATGAAGACCAACCAGTGGATGTGAGCACAGTGAGGCAGCAGGAGGTGCCTTCCAGCAGTGGCAGTAGCAGGTCACCCTCTGCTAGGGCAAGTTTTTACAAGCACAGCACGAAGGCTCTTGTTCATTGCTTGTGAAAATCATTGAATCACAGAATCATTCAGATTGGAATAGATCTAAGACATCTAGCCCAACCGTCAACCCATCCCCACCATGCCCACTAATCACGTTCCTTGAACACCTCCAGGGATGATGACTGCACCACTTCCCTGGGCAGCTGGTTTCAATACATCACCACTTTCCAAGATTATTTTTTTCCTTATAACCAGCCTAAACTTTCACATCACAACTTGAGGCCATCATCTTGCATCCTATCACTGTTAACCGGGAAAAGAGGCCAACCCCACCTCACCACTAACACCTTTCAGGTAATTGTAGAGAGCAATAAAGTCTTCCCTGAGCCTCCTCTTCTCCAGACTAAATAATCCTAGTTCTCCCAGCTGCTCCCCACAAGACCTGTGCTCCAGACTCTTCACAGCTTTGTTGCCCTTTTCTGGGCACTCTTAAGGGCTTCCTTGTAGTGAGGGGCCCAAAGCTGAACATTGTTCTGGAGGAGCAACCTCACCAGTAAGTAGATAATGCATAGCTAATGGTGGTGATTACATTGAAGAATAGTGTTTTGTAGCTGAGAATTGGCTCTATCAAATAACATCATTGTGCTTCCCATAGCTATTTCCATTGAAATAAATAGGAGGCATTATTTTCAGAGTGACCTATGTGCGTTTTCCAGTGTAAACTAAACATGAGGCCTTCAAAGATCAGAAAAGCTATGCATATATTCATGTAATCACTGAAGTGCAAGATGGTTCTATTTCAGAGTTAAGCATGCTAATCTGAAATTCCCTCAGAATGGCATTAAAAGGGAATTCATTAGCAGAAGACAAGCATATCCTGCATCATATCTATTGCGAGTATAAAATACTCCAGAAGTCAGTAGCTGAACCTTACTTATGCCAGAAACGGAGCTTGTCCATTTTCAATACAAAAAAGGCAAAACCTTCCTGGAAACGATTTAGTGAATTAGATACACATTTCCCATGTTTTTTTCTCCCTACCAAAAAGAGTCCAAAGAGGCTGTAGCTGTGCTTTGCCACAGTACCTTACCCCATTTCAGAGTAAGCTTTGGAGGAAGAAAGCTGTTCTTCCTCCAGGTGTACAGAGTGCTGGAGATAACAAGTTAACAGGTACTAAAGCAGACAGCAGGTAGAATGCCAGTACTCCAGGATGAATGCCCATCCACAGAGAAGCTGCTTAAGGGAGAATTACATAAGTAGGGCCATAACAAGATTGCCAACCACTAAGGAAAGAGTTGTTTGTACTAAAGAGGTGAATTAATGCTTCATGTCATAAAGAAAACCAGCCTATTACAGCATCAGAAGAACAGTTAAGAGTAGAACTCACACACTGCCAAAGTACAAGCCAAGCTCACTTACAACAACCCATCCTTACACATTTTCCCAAGGAGCCTTCAAATTTATATTCACAGCAGTGAAAGCTCAGCAGTGCCTAAAACAATGAAGCTGCTAAGGCAACAGACAATACTATTGTGGCCTGCATGACCTGTGGTTTTTCATATTGCTCGGTCAGAATTCCTGAAACACAATTCTTAGCAACTGAAAACACCTTATTGTAAGTATGAATGCTGTCTTTTTTGAACATATTGCTCAAAGTACTTACATCAAGAAAAAAATGTACGTGTAAAACATTGGTCAATTAAGTCATCGAATGGAACTGACACAGGAATGTCTTTCCTGAGGGCTGAAGACAACCGCTCCTAATATTCTCAATCCCATCATTAACATACTAACAGGAAGCTACTTAAGACAGTGCTTCTAACTTCAACTCACATTACTTAGAAAATGACTCAAATCTCTGTTCCACCAAAGACAAAGCATTGCGCACAGCTTTGTGTGTCGAGTAGTAAAAAGGACTCCCGCAAATGTTCAATTTCCAAACGCTGCAGCTGCCTGCACAGTTGGCAGCCAGCAGTACAGAACACTCAAACAAGATTTATTCAAAATTCATCACAACCGCCAAGCTAGCCTCAGACCTCACTGTTTCCACAACAGAGCCCTCCATAAAGCAGGGGAGGATTTAACCCTTAAAGTCCAAGTAAGGGACAGAAAGTATTTTCATTCAGAAATACTTCAAGAGTTAATGGCTACTGTTTGGCACTACCTTAACACAGACTCCCATTCCAAATACCGTATAGATTATGCCTACAGTTGCACACCAGCAGTCTGACTCAAGCAGAAATACAGCCAGATACAAACCAGAATTGGGAAGTTACCTAAACCACATGCAAACTACAGAATTACAGATTTTTAGATTATGTGCTAGTCCCAACCCACTTGAGGACAACACAAAGTTCAATGCTTTATTTAAAAAATAATAATAATAAATGTCCATCAAAATTTTATTTTAGTAAATGCATCAAAAACTCTTAAAAAAAAAAAAAAATCAGTGATGCCTTTCATTAACAAAGCAGACTGCTCATAGCACAGAAGCAATACTGATCTGAAATTAATCACTCTGGTCAAAACACCCAGCCGTGTTTCAGCACGTTTTAGCTGCATAATTCTCTCTTCTCCTTTTTGTAGGGGAAACCAAAGTGGTAACTTTTCAGTTCTGACAGATACTTGCACCTCTTTTCAGCAGGTGCTCAGATTGCACGGCAAACGGTCTTCATTAAGAAAACAACCTACGAATCTGAACCTGACATAAACTACTAGAAATGCATCCAAGCCTAAGTTTAATAAGTCTATTTTCAAAAGCTGTAACCAGAGCATGTTCAACAATAATATAAAGGAGTTGCAGAACTGTGGGGATCACTGAAGAAAAAAAAAAAAAAAAAAAAAAAAACACATTTGTTTCCTGCAGAGCAGCAACACAAAGTTAAAATGCCATGAACAAATTCATAGCTATATAACTTATCTACAAAATTCTGCCCTAAAGCGTTATTCCCAAAAATTCTTAACAGATAAACCATTTTCCACAGCTCACTGCAATTTCTTCTTATAGGTAAAATGCTGCTATTACCATGGAGCAGTAATGTCACAGATGTGCCAAAATCAGAAAAAAGACACCCGTGCATTCTCCCTCTAGCAGTTTCAGAGTGACACAATACACCAGGAGGAACAGCTCTATGCAACCAGGGCTACACAACATAAAAATCACAGACAAAACCAACATGCATTAAATAGAAAAAAAAATAAGAAAAAAAAAAGAATGAAGGTGTAGGCATGCATCCCTACTTAGGGACAAGAGGGTAAGTCTTTACACTTTTGTTTTTTTTCCACTTGGCAGTTTAAGAATGTCTTTCAGGCTACAAAAGCAACTGTTTGCCTTCCATCAGCCATTTGCAATTACAAATGCCCTTGTTTTGGCAACAGGCGAACGTCCAGGTAATAATTCATTTTTACTCAGGAACTGTCTCCCCATAGCATTTTTTCAAGTTGTTAGTATCTGCCTGCAGGGAAAAGCATAAGATAGAATGAAGAAAGTCTCCTTTGGGACATGTCAGCTGACTCAATTTTGCATACAGTCACCAGAGCTAGGATCAAAGATGGATCCTATCAATAAGGAGAAGACAGTAATGGGTAACAGATAGACAACCTTCTACCAACTCCAAATTGTGTTTCTTCCCTATGAACTACACTCTTTACTACTTCTGCGCCCATGAAATGCTGAAGTAATCAAAATTACTTTAAGAAATGTTTGGTTCAACCACAGAATCAGATAATCCCGTCACAGTGAGTGCACGAAGAGACGTTTTCCCACACCAACCTAATTAGTGATTTAAAACAGTGGGTGAATAGCTATTTTCTACCTAGTCTACAGTGACATTTATTGTCAGATAAAAAAATTCCACTTGAAAGACAATTGCCTGATTTCTTAACAAAAGTGACTTTTCAAGCCCTTCCGCTCAGGGTTTGAAAATGTTTTCCTATCTGCTGCTTCCATATTTGCAAGATAATTGTTCTATTCAAAAAGAAAAAACTTCTATCCTTTTGGGCTACACAGCCAAACCACCTCCCACAAACACAGACCCAACACAACATTAAGTATTCTAATTCCCAAATTACAATAGATGCAAGAAACAATCAGCAATTTTCACAAAAAAAAAAAAAAACAAACAGTGCAGTTAAAAAATAGCACTACTTCAACAGAAGTCTTCATTTATTTCCAGGTGTTCAAATTTGTATTACACATTTGCCATTCAACTTTTTTATTTGAACATTAAAATTACAATTGGAGGGCTCGTATTTCCAGTGGTCTCTCTGCAGTAGAGATCACAGAACAAAACATAACACATTCTACATGGTTAACAATATGACATTTAAGTCACCAGAATTACAGTTCCCATTTTTTTTTTCCAACAGATCACATAAGAATCACATAACTGGGGCATTTCCTGTAACAGAAATATCAAACTTAGTGCTGCATTTTTAAATTTCAATATGAATATTTCTACATAAGAGCAACATCATACATGACAGTTTGATTTAGCAAATGCATGGTACTTTGGCTGGTCTAACTGATGTATTTTTCCTCCTCTGATTAATTGTAATTAAATTCATAAAACACATTGCTAATATGCTAATATGCCCTGCATCAGTATCATGTAACAAATGCATCTTTCTTTAACAACTTCAGTGGGAAAAGGAGTAGTGTTTATTTTTACCTCACATTAGCCTTTTCATACATGCACAATTTTCTTCTACTTGTACCCTAAGTACTATTTCATCTGCAAGAAAATAATCCGTACCCAAAAATTGGAGTTTTCAAGTAAGAAGTAGTACAGCTGAAGACAACACATGACAAATCACAACTATTAATTTCAAAGTAACACTGAGTGTTTAAAATACAAGTCAACTAATTAGCCATCAGTCATTTGAGGTGGAAAGAATTTCCTCACAATTCATCTGAAAAACTGACTATTTAATTTAGCTACCCTTTTTGGTAGAACATCATGCAGATGTTAACATCAGCTCAAGTAAAATATATATATTTTAATCCATATTACAGGCAGAAATATAACTGGCAGATTGGAAAGCTATTTTTCAGTACACAAGCCAAGTAAAATCAAAGTGCCTCAAATTTTATCTATAAAATGGGCTAAGCAGCTCTGGTAGATATCCCCACAAATACAGTAAGTGTTGTCTTGTAAGAACTGGGAGTAATTTATTTGAACATTTGCGTCACAAGTTTCCACAAGAGAACTAATCACAATACTTTTTCACTTACTCTCTCCAAATGAATGAATTTAATTCTTCACCTTCCTGAACATAATTGTCTCATACTCTGATATACAACTGCCATCCAACTACTTATTACCACAGTAATCTAACTGAAGACAATGTTCCTTCCATTGTGATAATCATGCATGTCAAGGTACCCATACGAAGGTTTTAAGGTTACAAGATACAATCTGGTCAGAGAACTTCTGTATTTGAAGGAAAAAAAACCTGCAAATACATACTGCAAATTAAAAAAAACAAACAAACAAACAAAAAAAAAAAACTAGAACTTCTCAGAGACCTAACGCAATTCATTTCATGCACTGATGTTAACAGGTATTTCATTTTTGTCTATTTTGGTCCACATGTCCCTGCATGTCATTAGCAGTTGAAGAAAGTTGTGCCCAGAAACAGTGCAGCTACAGTAAGACACCTCTTCACTTTTTATTCACCCTCACTGTAGTTCCTAAATTCATATTTCAGTAAGTTATAAAGCAGAATTACATACCTTACATAATATTCAAATTAAACAACACATATTTAATATAATTAAGTCACTTTCTCTCACCCTTCATAAAGCATGTGTATTGAATTATAAATTCTGCAGCACAAGAACAGTCTGCATATGGCACTTAGCAGAACAGGATGTCCATGCATGTCTTCAGTATAAACAACTGCATTTTGTTACTCCAGAATTAAGTAGCAAATCTTGTTCACCTATATAAAATTTAAAAACACTTCTAAGTTTTCCATCAAGTGGAAAAATCATGGGAAGCAAAAAATTGTACATTCATTACATATTCTTGAAATGTCAATTCTCATGAAGTTGGTTCACCTTCTTTCTGTTAACTGCAGTCAAACAATGAATTCTTTTCCATTTCTGCTAATGGAAAGGTTCTTCTTCACTGTAGTTTTTCTGTCAGCTTTGATTCTTCAATGTTAATTTCTCTACTGGAGCGCCCATTATCTCTTCAGGTTTTATACAAACATCATATTCTCCCTTTTTCATTCTGTAACCACAACACCTACAAAGATCTCCTTAATTTGAGGCAACACCTAGTCCAACAGAATCCCCACTGGATAGAAGCTTCTCTTATCAGAATAGTACACTGGTGAATGATTGAAGTCTGCTAGAGTCATGGATTCACTATGTACCAGTGCTCCATTGTAAGCACTGTCTCTAAAAAGAGAAAAGTTGTGCACATGTAAGCTGCTCAAGGCAAGCCAAGTCAAATGATCTGGTCAGGCAGTGAGGGCAGGGCAAGGGCATGATAACCTGATCTTTTGGCTGTGTGACTGTTTAACCTGTGTTACAGCCTGGTTTAAGCAGTGTTGTTTACACCATACTCTCAAACAAACAGAACCAGATGTCTACAAAGACATATTAAATCTTGTTTTCTATAGAGTAAGTAATCAGTATGAGTTCAAGAATAAATTTAATGCAAAGTTTGAAAAGGGTACCTAAACTAATAACCAAGTCTGGAAGCATTTTAAATACTGTCTTACTCTGAGGTATATGTCTATTACTGTAAAAGTTTATGCATCGCATTCTAAGACCTAGAGACCTTGAATAAAGTCTAATTGTATTTCTTAAGTCAAGCAAGCTATACAAAAACTAGAACAGATGATGTGTGGATGGTGTTCCAGTGTTACTGTTCAGCATAACACTTCATGCAAATATGCAAGAAAGTCTACATACTCAGGACTGTTTACATCTGAATAAATAGGGTAAATTAGCAAATACAGTATTTAAAATTATCTACAAAAGTGTGTTTTACCAGGTATTCACTGTTTGTATCAAGTTTTAAAGCTGAAAGCTGAGGGAAACAGCAAAGGATATGAAACAAAACAAGAAATTTAAACAGACATTTTTCAAATCCCCTTAGAAAACAAAATCAGTAACTATTAACTAAATTTAAAAAGCCTACAATTAGTTGGTGGCCTTGTCAGCAAACATCTTTAAACAAAAGGCCACAAACAAACACAAAGAGCTTTACATATTACTTGACTTGTTTATTTTACACCATGAGGTGAAAGCAACACATTTCCTTTCAGTAAAGTATACACAATTAGCTTCACTCAGAATACATGTTTAATGCACATAAAAAAATTATTCATTTTACAAATTGTTTCGCAATCCAAATATACAATAGCTTGGAAAACAATATTTTAGAAAACAAAAGCCAATGTAAAAAGACTGCTTGAAACAACTAACGTGATAAAGATTTCTGTATGGCTCTGTCTTTACAATTTTCTTACTGCATCATCAATATCAGAAATCTGTTCCTTCAGCTGGTTCCACTGCTCTGGATTTAAAGAAATACCTGAAATGCATTAAAAACAAATATTTAGTACAAAAAAGAAAACCGTAGTTCAGTATCTTGTATACTTACAATCCAGACTGATTTCATACACAAAGCCTACATCACAATTTTTAATGCTCCAGATACATCAAATTTAGTAACAGACTGAAACCACTTACTTGGAATACTTTAGAAATTGCCTATCTCTAGAGAAGTTTACCTTACAAAGAAAACAGGCAACAACATAAATTCATTCACACGTTTCATAAATACAGGAAGAGAAACAGAGCTCTGGATCTGAAAGCAGGCAGCACAAAAGCCCTGCGTGAGATGTAGGAAACCAACTGTATTTCTATTTGCTCCTAAAAGCCAACCTCTGTGGATGGAACTTCATATATTTATGATGTAACATGATTCTGGTTGGTTATTGTTTCTCCTTTTTTCTTAATGCACCATGAAGAATGAATCCTAGCACTCACAACTCAACATAGAACATCTTGCTTAGCTGCCTTTGTTCTTGCTGTTCAATTTAAGATCACTACAAATGCTTATGACATTCAACTAATTAGCCCCCCTCAATCCATCTCCTCAGTTCTGAACATTTACTTGTTCGAGCTACAGACCACATTTCCATTGTGCTTTACCCTCCTCACTCTTTCCCTACAATCTCTATGCCAACTCTACGCAAGTAGAGACTCACACGCCTACCTCACTCTCTGCAGTGAGGCTCTTCAAATATTTACCCCCTCTCTATCCCTCAGTCAATTCATTGCCTTCTCCCTGTACATAGAGCAGGACCTGAAAACAGGTGAAACTGCTAATTCCACTTCTGGGGAGCATCTCTTTTTCTTTTTTTAATTATTTTTTTTATTATTTTCCCCCTTTCTTATTACCACCAGAGTTCCATCATAGAATCACAATTATTTTAAGCAGAAAATCATCTGCATGTCTCTGCTTTAAGCAGTTGTTCCAACAGTTCTTAGGGGAAAGGTTCTGAAAAGTTGGCCAGGCATTGCTAGGATAAAAAATATCATCAAGTTGGCCCAAAACAACATATCCTAAGGACTGTATGCAGGCATGTATTTCAAACCTGCTGGCTGAAACAGTCTGACATAAATTTCTAACAATCAGATTTCTTCTATTTTTATTACAAATCTACAATTGTATCCTTTTTTTAGGATTCCTACATAAGCAGCCTTCAAGTGTACCACTAGAATATCACTCAGATGCTATATCTGGTTAGCAATTTTATCCTAATTAAATCCAGACTTGTTTGATGCCACTACAAACATTTTCACCTGTATCACATAATTTTTGTGAATTTGCCTGTCCATTAAGAATCACTGTGGTTTCCCACTCAAGCTTTCAATTGATGTATCTTGAGGTAGAAGTGAAAAGAACAATTTAGCCCTCCAAGCTTGGAACAACCACTTTTGCTAAGTTGCAGTAACACATTCAACAAAGACCTCCTTGTACAACCTGTTCACATAAACCTACAGTGGTTATTTAAGATACGCTGAAAACAATTCACAAGCTTTCCAAGTGTTTGTTCACTGTGTTGCTCCTGGACACACCAGGAAAATACAATAACCCTTATGCTGATTCTAGATTAAATGACTTCCATCTTCAGAACAGAACAATTCGTGCTAACCTGTTTCATTGGTACAATATGAAAAATAATATGTTTCTAAACAAGCAACAAGACATTAAGAAAAGCACTACTACTGCAATGGTCAACCCATCCTTACTTCACAGATAGCAAAAGTCCTGAAAATGGTCCATTAAAATGATGCTATAAAAATCAGATAGGGCAGTGGTAACTAAAGACTTATGTGCTGTACTGCAGGTTAAACAGACACAGAAAGTGTTATATGAAATGTTTCTGTTATTTTAATCTGAAATTAAATAAAAACTGAAAAACACAATTGTTTTAAAAGACTTAATACATTATTCCAAATAAAATTAAACCTTTTCAATCTATTTAGAAATAGAGATCCTATTGGAAAAAAGGTAAGAAATTGATTTAAGGAACAGAGGGGGAAAAAAGTATGGTTGCTACAATAAATTTTAATTGATGCTGTATTTCCATAAATTGTGCAAGATCCACTTAGAAAAATGGACTCAGGCCAACTCTGCTTTTGTTGCTTTTATCTCCAGGTAAAACTGATCATTTTTTATAATTAAAAATATTATCCTAAAAATATCACGCAGTAACAAACTATATGAATCTGACACAAAATTTCCCAGTAAATTGTAAGCAATGTTTTGATACACAACAATATAAAACAGAACAGTACCTTTTCTGCCAGGCTTCATTTCACCTTCTTGATCCATCCAATATTCTCTAATATCAATTAAAACTTTCCCTTTAAAGTCACGAACACTGACATACCTCATTTTGCCAATCTGTTAAAACACAGAAGACATTTTATGCATTTTACATATTACAGTATTCACTTTTCCAAACAGTATTAGGCTCAGATGTGTGACACAACCCACTGCAGCTTATTTTAGACACCTGAGAAACAACCAGCTCAAGAGCTTAATCCAGAGTAGTCAGTAGGTTAATAAGTAATGGCAGTATAAATGGATGAAGGACTTAAAACCAGTTGAGCATTCAACACTTTTTTTTTTTTTTTTGGCAAATCTCACTCTGTTGAAGTAAAAAGCCTACATCCTTAGCAAGTGGCATTCTTACAAGAGTATTCGGATTTTCTGATTTTTTTTTTTGTGTCTATCATAAACATCTTTGTTAACAGCAGTTGTAAACACAGAGGAAGAGAGAGAGCTCTACTCCAAAATACATATTTCAGTACTATCCCTATTGACAAAAAAAAAGCAAGTTAGATATACACACTAGTTGAGTACAATTTCTAGATAGGCCTTAGTGTTATTGGTTGTTTCTTTGTTGTTGTGGTTTTCTTGTTTTTTTTTTTGTTGTTTTGTTTTTGTTTTTGTTTTTGTTTTTTTTTAATAAACACAGCAGAAGAGATGAAAATGAAAGGAAGACACTAACTGTCCCACACTTGCTCCTCTTCCTCCAGGTATACTCAATTGAAACAGTGAGTAAAAAACTTTAAAAAACTTTGAAAGTTTACCAACACATACCACAGCATGAAACTGGTTTTGTTAAAGTGATGCTTTTGGAATTTCATCATTTCAGTACGTTTCTTTAATTTTTTCTTTCGAGAGGGTGGGGAACTACAGGAGGAACAACAGCAAACTGCATCACACTTTGGATCGCATTATATGTTTAGACTTTCTAAAGGTTTTCACACATTTAATGGAAGTATTAGTTCACACCAAATCAAACTACAATGGAAATTTGAAAATCAGAAATTAGATAATCAAAACACACAAAGACCATTACTTTAAGAAATGCATTTTGTATGCATCGCGTGGACAGACTTTATGAAGAAAGAACTCATTCCTAAATAAACAAATTTAAAATAGAATATTTGACCTGGATTGCTGAGCTGGGCCAATGGGATTAAGTTTAACAAGACCAAGTGCTGAATTCTGCACTTTGGCCACAGCTACCTCAGGTAACTCTACTTGGGACACAAAAGCTTTTAGACGGTGCGGAAGAAACAGACCTGGGAATGTTGGTCAACACACTGCTGAACATGAGCTAGCAATGCGCCCAGGTGACCAAGACCAATGGCATCCTGCATTCTATCAGAAATAGTGCTGACAGCAGGAGCAAGGAAGTGACCCTCAGCTTTGGTGAGGCCACACCTTGAGTACTGCATTCAATTTTAAGCTCCTCACTACAAGAAAGACATTGAGGCCCTGGAGTGTGTTCAGAGAAGGGCAACAAAGCTGGTGAGGGGTCTGGAGCACAGGCCTTACACAAGGAGCAGGTGAGGGAGCTGGGACTGTTCAGTCTGGAGAAGAGATGGGTCAGAGAGACCTTACTGCTCTCTGGAACTCTCTGAAAGAAGTTGTGGTGGGGTGGGGGTCAGCTTCCTCTCCTGTAACTAGCAATGGGATTTGAGGAAATGGCCTCAAGTTGCACTATGGGAGATTCATGTTGCATGTTAGGAAGAACTTCTCCATAAGAATGGTGAAGCACTGGAATGGGCTGTCCAGGGTGTGGTGATGTCACCATCCCCGGAGATGTTCAAGAAACATTTACATGTTGCACTAAGGGACCCGGTTTAGTGGAGAAATACTGGTGATTGGTGGACAATTGGACTGGATGATCTTGGAGGTCTTATCCAACTTTGGTGATTCTGTGCTTGATTACTTTCTAATAGAACTAATGCACATCTTCCACTGACAATTTAACAGAGGATCACGTAGATCTTACTAGCATTAAGTCTGACCAGAAAACGTGAATTCTCAAATCAACAATCACCCACAGATGTTTAAGTCAGAAGCCATTACTTCACAAAATAGATACAAACACGTATGCTTTAAGTTCAATTAAGGCCATTTCTTCTTATACAGATCATGTTGAATTAACTCCAAAATTTTAAAGCATTCTTAGATACTGTAAGCCTAAAACGTGTTTTTCTTACTTCAAAGTATCCTTTTAAGTGAACGATAAATTTCAGTTTATATTATTTTGCAATTGATTTATTAAATACTTCCACAGCACTACAAATACAGCAGACAAAAATAAGGCATGATGTCAGATGAGCTGAGTTCTTTCAGACTTAACTTGGTATGGCCCGTAGGATTGGCCAAATCTGTCAGCACTGTTGGCAAAGAATATTACAAATAGCTTGCATAAAAAACATTTCATGGTTTTTCATTGCAATACTTCACCAGCTTCAAGTTATTAATACTTAAAGCAGCAGTACTCCGGAATTTCTATCAATTAACTATTAGTACATTACCAAATAATTTCAGCATTTTCTGAAATGGTCTGGTGGTTGGTGAGCCTGCCCATGGCAGGAGGGTTGAAACTAGATGATCATTATGGTCCTTTTCATCCCAGGCCATTCTATGATTCAACAATTTTCATATCGGACTATTTCTAGTTAACTTAGACTTGCTGACTATGTGATGTTAGCTTAAATGTTTTTCTTCTCCCCTCACCTTATTGTAGGTGAATTAATATAGGTGCTCTCAGATTCTAAGCCTTTCCACTGTATCTGCATCTCTAATCCACTGTGTTTTTATCAGATTTTATTTCTTAGAGCAAATCTGGGATTCTAAGTTACATTTAACGGTTCTGTCCACACATCATCTGAACGCTCACATTAAATAAATTTAATGTGACCATTAAGCTGAGCTTTATACAAAACAGTTGTCATTGCAAAAAGTTTTAACTCTCGTTTCTGAAGTAGCTCTTATTAGCAACTAAAGTTACTAGAATTCCCCAAAATAGAGATTTACTCAAGAAAATTGATATTTTTTTTCTCTTTTTCTTTCAAGTTCAAATACCTTTCATTCTGGCATTAAGTCATCTCTGAACAACTTTTCAATGCAGCAGCTCATAGTACTAGAATAACTTCCTTGGGCCCTGGGCTCAAGCACTTTGTTATCACTGTAATCACAGTAGTGTTCCAAAAGAGTATGATTTATAGCAGTGTAATTTATGATGTTCAACTTTCATGCACAAGTCCATATGCTTTTTATAAAACACCACAGCTTTTTAGACATACCACTCTACTAAATTAAGTACATCAGAAAACACAATTTCCAAGTTTTCATTTCTTAGAATACAACACACTGAACTGCATCTAGGTTCCTTTCGCAGCTATCCAACTGACTTCTTGTACGAGTTTCACCTTAATCGACATTTTCGTTCCCATTGCCAGTTTCCTTTAAACACACACACTGAAAGTAGAAACTGCAAAAAAGCAGCTATCTTTGTACTGTGAGGAGCACAGAAAGATAGTATAGACCCCTAGAATGCAGAGTCCTGTAAACAGCTGGGCTCTGCAACAAACCAAATTGGTTTAGAACACTAATTCTGAAACTGATACTCACACAACATTACCTCTCAAACACCCTTCCAGATCATTGCAGACATCTATTTTTAGGATCTTACGATAGGTGAAGACATTGCGTTTGTGATACCAATGAACGTTATTTCTGACAAGTCAAAAAACACGTACAACTGAACTCTCAGAAAGGAGGGAGTGGGGATTCTTTTCCAACACTAAGTAGTAACAAATTTTGTGAAACATCCTGGCTCCATTCTGGACAGTTACTAATAATGTATCCTGACAGCATTAACAAACCTTACCCAAATTAGGCATGAGTAGAAGACAGGATTTGTCAAACTACCCAGAGCACGTGATGCAAACCTTATATGAGCTGAAGCCACAGATGGGAATCTAATGCAAGAAGACTAAAACCTTCCACACAAATAACACTTGTCCTTAGGACGGCTAGTAACACATCATGCAAGGAGCAAATTAATTTTCTGGATCTCAGTTGTGCCCAACTCCCTTCACCAAATTCCTAAGTATACAAAGCTACCTTTAAAGTCTATAAAGGCCAAGACACATAAGTAAATAAATGTTCATACTGAAAACAATTTCCTACCACTTATAATAATTCTACACTTCATGAGCTTCAAGTATTAACATTCATTTTAAATAAAAACATTAAAACACAGGTCTTGCAAAAACTGATGTCATAATGAGCTCTACACTAAAAAAGGAAGCTGCAATTCTTCCAGAATACAGCCTAAACATTTAGAACCTTAAGTCTCTATGTTTCACATCATATGTTGCCACTCCCACACAGAAAATGGATATCACAAAAATGAATATCCTGTGAATGCTTCACATCCTGATTTATACCAGTTCAAACAGGGTGTTAAGTCATACTGCAATGCCAACCGCAAATCAGAGATCACTTTACTGCTACAAGGAACTAAAAAGGAGAGAAAGTTTTCTGTATTACTAACAGTTTCAGAACAAACAAAATTATACCTCAAAATTTAAAGACTAGAACTTTAAGCATGATCTCCTGGGTAGAGCAAAGAGAGAGGAAGTAACTACAGACTCACAATGCTATTTCTACACCGAAACAGACGCATCTCAGTTAAGGCACATAAGCTGATGTAGCACTACAATGCTTTCATAACAGAATAAGCAACCTAAGAAACATTTCTGTTAAGTAACTAAAAGGTAGGCAAATACCAAAGAACATTGATGGAAGAGTCCAGACATTAACATGTATTCAGTTGAAGTCCTCCCACCAACTATACCTGAGCAAAGACCGATAATTAGTAGCAACTGATCTGCATTACAACATCAGTTATGCAGATCTTTTGTCTGGAAAACAATTTTTTTGCCATATTATTTTGCACAGCAATAGCCCAAAGCGACTTATTTTGCCTTACCCAGAAACGGGATCATTCTATTAAACATCCTCCCCAGACTCCTTCAGAAGCTTAAGAATAAGAGTCTAAGTTTCTTCTCCACTCTCTGCTTTTATTAATCCAGCTAGTCACAGACATTTACTAATTCCAAGCTACGTATACTCTTACACAGCTTGCAGTACACATTGCTACTGCCCCACCTAACCCTAAAAGTTGGTCTACCACTCTAAGCTCACAAATACATTGTGCTGAGGAAAAAAAATCTACATTCACACCATCTAAAACAAGAACATCAGAATGGCAGTCCTTCTGGATGTTTAGTGAGAAAAAGTTAACAGTAGTTAACAAAATACACAAGTTAGAGATGTAGTCAATGAAATACGTAAAGCGGGTCTGTCAAGGTCACCAGGCGTAACCAGGCGTAACCTGTGTGGGCCCCTTGCGTGGTTAGCGAATACATGAAAGGGGGGCTGTGACAGTCATCAGGCTCTGCGGGGGCTCCTTGACTCATGAGAAACCATGATGAGACATGGCAAGACAAGACATGCCACACGTCTATTGGGCACCCGTAGCAAGGGTGATTGTAGCACTGTGATATAAGGGACAATTATAAGAAGAGTGTGTTGTTTGCAATGAAGGCCATTTGCCGCTCACCACATTGGTGCCATAAAAGCGTGTGATTTGGCCGTGGCTGTCTGAGCACTTCACAACGGGACATTAATCAGAGGTTGCCGAAGCAAAGGCAACACCTGCATCACAAAGAAACAAGCAAAACTTATTCCAGGGCACTTCCTTATAACACAGAAACCAAGTTGCCCTTGACCTAGTTAAATAGGAATTAAGAGACCCTATTTCAATTTCCAAGAACATTTCTTTCAAAACCTCTGATTAAAAGAAGCGTCCACGCATAGGTCGTCCCAATTAAACATTTCCAGTGTATTTATGATAAGTGCTGTATTTGCAGACAAAATGACTACCCACAGAGTTGCCATGGGCAAAATGCACGAAGGCTGGACCAATTGCTACAACTCAGTTTCTTTTATTTTATTAAGACCTGATGATTGTTTTCCTGAATACCTCACCTGCACTGCATCATTCACTGTAACCCCCCCGAAAAGGACACTTCAGGAGAGTAGGCACCATACAATAAAGACATCAACTCAAAATTTATATTGAGTATGACGTAACAGGCTGCCTTAAAAAAGTCATTAATTTTTACCTGAAACATATTCTCATCTCTGTTGCTGCTTTGTTTAGAAGAAGCGGCACCTTTTGAACTCTCACCCGTCTTTTGTTTCTTCACAGGCTTTTCTGGAACTGCTTGCTTTTTCCGCTTTGCCTTGGAGCAAGAATAAAACAAATGCATGAACCACAACTCATTCTTACCAATTATAGAAAAGCTTACATTAGAGGCCACAAACTACTATCATGCAGCACACACTATCACTTTCCTTTTGTGAAGGCAGGACTCCAGTGTCATACAATTTCAAAATTAGTCTCCAAATGAGTCCAACTCTGTTCTTTGTGAAATTTACCAGAATGCTTCAGCTTCAAAAATATTATACTATTTCACTTATTATTTTTAAGAGCCCACTCTTTTTGTAACAGCAATGCTGTTGGTCCACTAGCTTTAATTAAAAAAATAAAATCTGTTGAAAGTTTCACATTCCTTTCCAGTGAAAGCAACAAAAATGCATGACAGCTAATAACACTTCTGAAAAAAAGACAAAATAAGAGATAATGAAGAAAAGATCTGGAAGTCACCTCTATCAGGGAAACATTTTTTCCGTTTTTTAATCAGAGTCCAATCTCTGTCCTTAGCAAGATAAATTAAACATGTTTTTAAAACATTCACATCATATCACCTCTATATCACATTACTTGCAGTTGCTATAAAGTTACTACCTTTACCAATATTTATACCAGTAATCATGCTCCTATAGCTCATCTTCTCTTCATCCTCCATTCCAAAGAAGTGATAGAGATATCAAAAGTTATTCTCAACAGTTAGAACTACACTGTGGATAATTTATTTTAAAGAGGAATGGTTGCAACAGATGTAGGCAGTTGTGACAACAAAACCCATCACAGCAGACTGTTCAAGTTTAATTTGTCAGGAATGCATACCAGTTTTTGAGAGAATACTACACAAATACAAATCCATACCAGGATTTGAGAGAATGTCTGATTTGTTTAGGGCAATTAAGTCACATTTTAATCAGTAGTGCAGCCTATGTTTTCTCAAGTACTGACTATAAGTCTGCATTAACACCTAGCATTAACTCCACTGTATGCTGGTTCTGTTAATAATGACTAGCATACTAGCAGAAATTTACAAACTAAATGATTACCAAAAATAACTGTGAACACTTAATTTACACATTTAGAAATAGCTAAGACATTAAAATTAATCAACTGAAAGACATCCAACTTGGCTGAGCATTTAAGTGAGGAAATAGCAGACAGAATAAACAGATCATACTAAAAGTCAAAATCTGAAACAGAAGAAAAATATGTATAAACAAGAAAAGCAGTTGGCAGGGATGACAGGGCAGTTGGAGGTTTTCATTTTGAACCAGCAATAAAAAAAATAAAGAGGGGAGGTTGGGGTAGTCTTAAAATTAATCCATATTCTTGCCACAACGGGCAGCTGATACCAAAATCTTTTCTTTCTTGACACAAGGCAAGAAGGAATTCCAGGAGGATAGAGTCTAGCTATACCACATGGAAAAAGCTAAATAAAGCAAAATACAACCTAAGAAAAAAGTTCACTGCAAATCAAAAAGCATATTTTCTACACAAGCCTTAATAATATTTTTTCCAAGCGTCTGATAAATGATATGGAATGACACGTATTTTGATACATAAATGTTAATACAATCAAAATGAACTACACATAATTTTCACCTTTTTGTCAACTTCACTATCTGAATCACTGGCAGATGAGCTTGAAGACACGAGTTCCTTTGACTTAGGCATTCTAGGATGAGAAACATAATATAAGAACACTACACAAGAAATAAATCACGTGACATCGAGAAAGCAAACTTGATACTGTTTACTGTCCTGAAGACTTTCCTGAGTTTTCACACACTTTAAGGCACATTAGAATGCAATCTCATACACAGTTCCCTTTTATAGCTTTTTTTTTTTTTTTTTTTTTTTTCCTGCAACTGCCTTAAGTGTGGCATTTGAGTTTTCAAACAGTTTAGGGACAGTTTTCTGCTAGTTCCATTATGGTTTTTAAAAGAAAAAAGGAAAAAATACAATACAGTACATGACTATCCTCAGTTTGAATTCTCAATACTACATTAATACATTAATTTAATCTACAAAAACCACAGCATTATCCATATTCTTACACAGGCATTATGGCTAGTTGAATTTGCAAGCAAAAGCTATACAATAATCTTATAAGAAGCTAAGCTCCCCTATCAGTAATACAAGATCTGAAAAAACATGTTAGTTACAATGAACTACAGTTCTGCTATTATTTCAACTGCAGCTTTAACAGATCAGTCACTAGAGTCTATTCATTTGCCAGACAAGTGGACATTCAAGACTTTCCTTGAATGCATGTTGCCAGATGTACTTCTGCATCTCTCCACTATGCAAACATGTGGTTAGATACAGCAGCAGAACATCCTGCCTGCTACTAGAAACTCTTTGTAATAAATAAATAGCTCATTTGTTCTTTCCTATTAACAAGCATGACAGAGAAACAAAGATAAGCTAAGGAAAGCTAAGAGAAGCAAGTCTTAGCAAAGGAAAAGGAACAGCATCATTTTCAAGTCGGTGGTGAAATCACAGAGCACAAGTATAACGCTAGTAGCTCGATGTAGTTGAAAAGTGGGACAAGTTCTGTCGTCACAGCTCAGAGTACAATGCTGGGAACTGCAGCACTAAAATGAAACGGGGCACGGGGAAGCAGACCAGGACGGAGGCAGAGGGGATCTGGAAGAGGACAAGCACGACAAGGACGTGAAGGTGGGGCACAGAAAGAGGCTGATAAGAGGGGGCCAGGGGCCACAAGCCTTTAAGCCTGCCTTGGAATGCGCGAATGGCGGCACGGAGGAAGGCAGGAGAGGAAACTGCAAAAAGGAGAAAGTGGGAGCGGAACGATCTGCTGGAAAGAGGCAGGCAGGCAGCGCGAGGAGACGGTGAAGCGCCGGGGGAGCGAGGGCGGAGTGAGACGGGCCACGCAAAGACGAGGCGAGGGAGAGGAGAAAGACAGGCCGGGAACAGCCGTAGGCGGATCCAAGCCGCCATCTTCCTCCCCTCCTTTCCACAGCTCCCGCTGCCCCCCGGGAAAGAGGGGCGAGGGGCCAGCGGGGCCAGGAGCACGGCCCGGGTCCTGCGGGCTGGGCGGAGCGAAGGGCCGCGGCTCAGCGCCGGCGGGAGGCAGGGAAAGCCGAACAAAAAGGAAGAAAGGAAGGAAGGAAAAAAAAAGGGTCTGGGGTCGGCTGCGGGCAGGGCCTGATCCCGGCGCGGGGGAAACGGAGCCGGGCGGTTCCCCGACGCCATTTTCTTCCTCCCTCCCTTAAATCCTCCTCGCCCCCCAACATGGCAGCGACTCCTCCCCGCCCCAGGCCCACCGCACAGCGGGGCATCCCCCCCGCGGGGCACAGCGGGCGCTCAAGGAAAGAAGGAAGGCTGCGCCGCACGGCTTTCTCCGCGCCTCCCCGAGGCTGGCCGGGAGACGCCGAGCTCTGGCGGCCGGCCTCAGGAGGGAGGGCGGAAGAAAACAGCGGGAAGCTGCGGGGGGCTCCGAGGGGACCCCGAGACTCACGTCCTGCTCCGCGCGCTGCCCCGCCGTACCAGGAGAGGAGCGGAAGTGACGCCAGCGGAGCTCCCGCCCCCGCGCCGCGCCACGTGACGGGGAGGAGTGCTTAAAGGGCGCGCATCCCTTTGTTGCTCGTTCCCGCTTCCCTCGTGCTGGCTGTGGGGGTGCGGGCTGCAAAGCGCCGCTCGTGAGGGAGCAGCGGGAAGCAGAGAGCGTAGGATGGCTCTCAGCGCCCGAGCGGGGCCCTCGGGTATATGAACTGCCGCTCTCGGTTCCTCGAGCTCCGGGGTGGGAGAGGAAGTGCAGTGGGAGCACGGCCGCTGCTTTGCATGCCGAGACCGCAGGCCCGGCAACACCTGAGGCCTCTCCGCAACGCGCCGCTTCCTCCTTGTCCTCTTCCGCCTTCCCTCCTTTATCCTTCCCCCCTTTCTCTTTGCCCGCTCTGCTGTCTCTCCAGGGCCGGGGGAGCAAAGTGGAAAAGCTGATGATGATGATAAGTCCCCCTAGTTTGTGCAGAACGATGCGGTGAAATAAATCAAACGACGCGGTGAAATAAATGAAAGGTGACTGTAAGCACCCTTGACAGGGCAGCTTGCCGACCTCTGTTGCAGTTTCACCCCAGAGCCTGCTGCACCAGAAGACCGGAGCTGATGGCGGCTGCACAGTGGTTTGGAAAAGAGAGGAGGCATGGCTGCTCTAAAGTGCTCCTCCGAGAAGCCAAAATAGCACCAATTTAGAAGGAAGGGAGTGAGGAGGAGATGGGAAGGAAGTCTTCTGCCAGTCTCACACTCGTGCCATAGTTGAACAACCTCTTGGCTTGCCTGAGCTATATTGAGTGAAGAGGGATTGTCTTGTACCGTGTACAAAATATAATTCATGTATAGATGTAACAAAACTTTTGTGGTTTTTTTTCTAATTAAAACATAAAGAGGGCAACAAAACTGGGTTTGGGATGTTTGACCTTGTTTCTGTGAAACACGCACCACTGGTTCAGTGGCAGAGGTTGCCATTCTCAAGGAGCTTGTCATGAAATTTTACTCCTCCTGGACTTCACCTTGGAAAATGGTTGTTCACAAATATAAGTGCTACCAAAAACTGATGATGTGAATAAGGGGTGATGCAGAAGTAAGGGATATTTTTCTCTGATAAGAAGCCTCTTACAGAAGTCTGGTGAAGTGATACAATTAGCCTTTTCTTTGAATAGATTGTCTGATTGTAATTCTGTATTTCTTTGTGCCAAGAGGAGGACACTGCAGGTGTTATAGTTACTCTTACCCTCCCAAGAATAACAGTTAAAAATCCCCAAGCTGCATACCCTGTGTTTCATTTGCCATTTGTAGAAGTTACCGCATTCAGAAGTTTCACTGATTGGTTATTTTATAGCGATTTTATATCTGCTGCTCCTTTCCCAACTGCGAAGCAGAGTTTAGGTGAGAAAGTTTTGAAATTACGCCTAATTTTGAAATATGTACTTATTTTTTCTTGTATTCTACTTTCATCTCTGTTTTAGATTTTATCATAAAATATTTAATGTTACTTTCATGAGGAAAAAAGGGGCTGCTAAATACACAATTTGGCAAATTTATAATTTTGGAGGAAAAGTGAATAAACTTAGGTATAATACAAGTTTAATAATTAAATCATAAAACTTGCAAGTCTCTTTCATAACATAAAACACATAACAAAAAAACACGTGTCTTCACAGGTACACACACATATAAGTAGGCTGAAATATTATTATTAGCAGTCACTGCATTTTACCCACCAGGTGCACATGCACATGTAATGTGCAACTCATGGATCTTGATTCGACCGAGTGTTTGTGGTAGGCGTGAGACGTGGAGCTGGCACTGCACCATGCACTCCTCTCTGCAGTGCTCTGTTGTCACCAATGCAGCCCACACTTGAGCTGCTCACAATCTATTCCTGGAAAATATTGCTAAAAATCACACAATAATGTTATAAGATTATTGTAAGTTTACGTTAAAGGTTTTGGGATGCTTTGCTGTCTGTCCTGGGGCACGTACAGTCTGTGTACTATGGACATGCCTGACGTGTGCTGTTAGAGGATGAGTGTATTTCACAGGTAAAGCCAATGTGGTTGCAGAGGTTGTGTGTGGGTGAGCATCCTCTGTGGTTCCAAGAGCAGTTACCTCTTAATAAAAAGTTTAAAATCAAAAGTATTGGGTTTTTAAATTCCAAAGACTTCTGTTCATCAGACAGGATAATATCCAAAGTCAGCAAATGCTAAGCAGTCCTTCTAAATACTCAGGAAAAAGTAGGTTGGGGGATGAAGCCGCTGGAGAAGACTCACGGAGTATGCATAGTTTTCACTGTGAATTGGCATATGTAGGCTCTCAGTGTGGCTTTTGACTTTATTAACAGAAGCAGGAAGTTAATATGAAAAATTAGAAGTATGCTCTTGTAACTAATTCTTGTAAATTCCCTGTTTCATAATGCTATTTCATATCTTGGAAAATAAAAAGAAAAAATACACTGTTCTTCATATAAACCTCTGGAAAATGCAATGTATGTTTAAGCACAGTTGAAGCACAGTTATGTCACATGCATGTAAACAGTGCAAATGTCAAAATTGTCAAGCCATTTAATCTGGAAGATGAACAGATAATCCTTCAATATGTAATGGTAACAGTAAAGAAATTCAATATGAGATGGACTCCATATATGTAACACTTAAGTGAAAAATATATATATATCCTCTGACTATGATGTGGTCTCAAAGCCTGTACCAACTTTTATATTAGAATAGAAACAGCAGTTCAGGCTGTAATTCCTGTCTGCATTGTGTACTTATATCCAATCAACACCTGGTACACAAAGAATGCAGAGGTTTTAGGAGTATCACATTCGAATTAACAATTCCTTATGCATTTTTAACCAACTCCCTCAGCATTGAAATAAATCAAAATGACTTAACAGGAAGAGGTTTTTTTTTTTCACCTGGAGCTTAATAAGTTAAGGTTTGAACCTCAATGAGTTAACATCTCCCTCCCACCTCTATCATTTCCTCTGAAGCTAGAACCAAGTTCATTTTTAAACAGCTGAGTTTTCAAACAGTGGGTTAGAGGTGAGGATGGAGTGTTTGCTATGACTAGAGATTTCATGTTATGCTCTTCTGTAATTACAAGTTTATTTGAGAATTACTCTGGTGTCAAGTTCAGCGGCCATTGGAGCTTTTTAGTAAATTACCCTTTCTGTATTTTATTCTATTAAAGAAAAAAAAGAAGAAGAAGAAGAAGAAAAAGAAAGAAAAGATGCTGACTTTTGAAAAGTAATGGAAGAATCTTAATTTTTTCCAAGGTAAATTCCTCCTCTTACCTTTAAAGTGAGTCATCTATCCACTCAGCGAGTACAGTTCCCTTTCAGAGTTCTTAGTTATTATTTTTTTTCATCTCTTTGTTCCTTCATCAGACACTTTGGTAGTTGCCTTAAAAGGGCTTAAATTCTTCTAGTGACTGTCTGATTGCCTCATTTCATATCACACATTTGAAAAGAATGTTGTAAGCATTAGCTTTTTCTTCAGATAGGGTTTTTAGAATTCAGATTTGAACAGGAATGCTGAAAAATAGAAGGTAATACTTCTGATCTCATAGAAATTATTAATTTGTTCACTAGTTACAAATAATAGAGTTGGTAAGAAACAAGTTTTGGGGAGGCAAAATGAGGGACAGCTCATTTGGTATTAAGTACTAAACAGTATAAAAAGTAGGTAAAGAATGTTGGATGAGGAGGGTTAGCTTACAATACAGATTTTTTTTAAATGTTATGAAAGAGAGAGTAAAGGGATTTGTTAGGGAGTTTTTATTTTTGCATGTGTACTGCAAATAGTTCATTTCCCATGGAGGCTCAGTGTGCATTAGCACTTGAACAACTTTATACTATGATTCAGTGTTAAGATTTACTTTCTGCTGGAAATTGGTATTATAAACAATGATGACTTTCATGTACTATTAAAGAAATCCATTTATTTTACTACCGTGTATGTTAATCTTGTCACTGTTCAGCTTCTAAATCCTGTCATTAAAAGGTAACTTTTTTTTTTTTTTTTTACTTTAATCATTTAAAAAATTGCGGAAACATTTGCTTTTTTGTCTTCACTGCTTAAAAAACATATTTTCATTTTATAAGTAACTCGATAAGATGATGAATGTCTTACCTCTTTGTAGCTATCCTAAATAATTTCCAGGTGAGAATGGGACTCCTTGTGCCGATACCAAAAACTCCTTTTTATCTTGGGCTTTTACAAGGAGAACGCTGAATATCAGATCATCTTTTCAAGAAATGAAAGCGCTGCTTCTGTTAGCACGTTCCTTGCTCCCTGAAGGTAAAAGGTTTTACCTTCTGCTATATCTGCCCTGCCCTCTGGTGGTCACACCAGCCAGCTAAAGGTCTCGGTTTTGAGCGAACTGAGAGGCTGCCTCCAAGAAATCTTACCTCAATACACTACCACCAACAACAAGAAGTATATATTCTATGTTTTCCTTCTTTATTTATTTATTTATTTATTTATTTATTTTCTTAAGAGAAGGTACAAAAGATTTAGAACATTTGCTTTCAACTGCAGTCTTGCAGTTCTATGGTAGCAGCATCTTAAAGTAGAATTCATGACACTGGTTGTTAAATTATAGACTTTCTTCTAAACATATTTTGAAGATTTCCTTTTATATAGATAAAATAAAGATCAAAGATTTGTTTTCCTAAACACTATATTGCTATTTCTATCTATGATATTCTTAGACTCCCTGAACTTTGGACAAATAGGATAAGTGTATACTTACTCCCAATTTGAAGTTTTGTGTTCCATTGTACATTTTCATTCTGTAATCTTAATAAGAACAGAAATAGACTTTTTTTTCCTGTTTGATTTTAGGTAGATAGATAAATAGATAGATAATTTATATATAAATATGTTATATACATATATATATATATATGTATACACACACACATACATAATGTTTTACTAGAGCTTATTATCCTTTCTTCTCCTGCCACATGATTTGCACTTTATCACTCAATTTATGTTCCTTCCAGCTGAGGATGCAGA